AATGAATGAATGGGAACTGTAACGTTTTGTAATGTTTTGCACGTACTAATTAGTTGAATTAGTACTTAAATTTAGACTAATAGCTTTTGCAATACTGTAATTCCTTTATGGTCATGCAAATAAAGCTTTTGGTGTTGTTGTTGTGTTCATACTATAATCAAATTATATGGTGGTCACAAAATTTAGTAGCCTATTCAATTTTATCCTATCCCCTGAGTTAAAAAAAGAACTTTGAATGCAGGGGTCTGCTCAATGCGTAAATAAAACCGACTGGTTCTTTCTTGTCGAATCTCTAAGGTAGAGATGCCGATACCAGACGTCACTTGAAGTGGGAATGAAACTAAAATTTAATGCAAGGTTGGCAATACGGCAGAGGGGTGTTTTATTTGAGGCCAGTGTAGCTCTGGCCCTGAGGAAGGCTAATTTTGTTAGCCGAAATATTAGCGTCAAATAAATCAGCCCTTTGCCGTATTACCAGCCTTGCATTCAGTTTTGTTTTAATTCCCACTCTGAGTTTAGACTACGTGCGCCACTCTAACGCCGATATGTGCGTGCTTCGTATCATTATAGTGTTGGCCTGGTCTCTGTATGGACCCCCTCTATATGTCTTTCTGATAAAAGAGGGAAAAAAACGTTTCATCGCGGGTTATTTGAGTATTTGTCATTCTGAGGCCGCGCGAGAGACTGGGGTGATTTCCTGTCCAGAGAACAGGAAAAACGGGAAGGCCCTGGGAACGAGGTTATATGGCACTGTTTTCACTTCCGGTTTTCAACGCAGTTTGGTATAAGCAGGCTAATATAACAATGTTAAAATAGCAAAAATGATAGATTCCCACAAAACAATCCTATGAGTCATTCAAAACAACAACTGACCCAGTATCACGTCGAGCAACTTCAACATTTGCCAATAAAATGCCTCCCACCTTCAGTGCGTAATAAAAATAGAAACCAGTATTAATTACAGTTCAGCAAGCAACGTCATGCATATATTACTTTAAATTTTGTCCGTGCTACTTCTAAAGCGCGTGCTATGGTAGTTAAAACACAATGCCGAAAATTGTTAAACTACAGCACGAAAATTATACTCAGGACAAACAGCAATTTGTAGCCGAGTTCTTCTGGGAAGTTCCTCTCAACGAACGAAAATATTTCCGTGGGGATCCTGGACGTCTCTCAATTGATTTTCCTGGTTTTTTGCGCTCGGATCATGAATAGGCCATCTGTCATTCACATTGATGCAGCTCACAAAAAAATAGTAATTTTTGTTTCCTCGAAGCAGCTGTGGTCCACAGTCCTTAAAGAGAATTGTCACCGATGGAGATCCATCAGTACAATGCGTACCGGCGATTTTGTTGGCGATTTTACAAGAAATTTTTCCTGGTGTCCAGTCGACAAAGCTTCCTCCCGCTTGGGTGAGCATACCAGCCAGTTGTTCACATTACTTTTGACGAAGATTTCCTGTCCGAGTTGCTTCCAAAGTGAAAAGTCTAAGGCGTTGAAATCGTGTTCATGCATAGGTGGTGTAATAGAGATAGGCACATCAATGTCTGCCGAGATATCGGGCCATTTGGGCGAGGGACTGACTGCGTTAGCTTTTGACTTAAAATTTTCATAGTCAGTAAACGCGTAACTCCAAACTAAGGTCCAGCCCCCTCCATCGGTGTCCATCTCGCAGTAAACTCTGAACGCGTTGATCTGGGATTCGCCATCTGGATCAACCCAGTACACACCACTGGGATGGGTGAGTGGGGAGAGATATTTGCACGAGGGGACAGCCAGCTCCCGTTTCCATCCTACATGAACAGATAAACATTGATACCTTGTCAACAACGTTAGGTGGATCAAAAACGTATATTAAATCAATTAGCAAATCCAAGAAGTC